GGATGGATGTATGGGAATACATACATCCGTTGATTTTGTGGTGAAAATTGGCCCTGCTAAAGTTGTAGCCTTCAAGACTCTTCCGTTTTTCTTGGTACTATTTGATTGGGCATGGAGTTAGAGATTGCGCCGGTTAGTTTGTTCGGGGATGTGGGTGAAAGAGGGGGAAAAGAGGGTCAATTTAGCTATCTCTTCGACGTGTTCGGAATATTTCTATGTCCAGATCGCTAGGTAGACACGGGCTACTGATGCCAAACCAAACATTGCAAGACTAGATCATTGGAGAACATAAAATTAGCAAGTGTTGTTCGTGTTAAGGAGTTTTCCTGTATAGGACGGATTCGTCGTTCTATATTAACTATGAAGGCACAACAGAGCGGATGTCCCAACGTAAATCTATTTACATGACTTCATAAGACATTTCGAGCGTACAGATCAACCCGCCCGTTATCGTATTTCATTCACCCCGATAATCCCATCCAGTGAGGATATATATCCTCCCGCGTGTCTAGCCCCAAACCGATGGATGCATAAATCGAAATATATTCTTCGAACACATAAACAGACCTGCGCCGTAAATATCATTCCCCAAACCGCGCCAGTAAGATTGGAACAAGAGTAGTAGTGTTAGTGTCGACATGTCCAACATACATAAGTCGACTTCCTCGCGTGCTTGTGATGGATGGATTCCAACGAAGCACTTCAAACCGTCCACCTCGAAAGCGGACGTGGATAAATTGATCCAGGCATCATTGCTCTCGTACGTGGCAGAAGCAGCGAGCAACAGGGGCATAATCCCCTCGTGTTTTTAGAATTAGACTCAGGGTCAGACTGGGGCCATCCAACCAAAAGGCCCGGATCGCGATACCGTACACCGTCTGGCTGGCCTGATAAAAGAGGAGTAGTTCGTCGTGGAGGCAGGGTCGGGCACCCGTTATACTACCAGCAATAGGTAGAACTACAAACGAGCCCAACCTCAGTGGACGAGTAAGCCTTTGCTAGGTCATATCTTCGGATGACTCCGAGCTACTCTCCGATGTCAGAGAACCCTGGTGTCGTGCCACGTGAACCAGGCGGTAGATGCCGAAGGCGATGGCGGCTAGGACGATGAAGAGGAGGATGATGATGATGGCGATGACGTCGTTTTCTTTGACCATGGTGACGGATGCCGAGGGTTCGGCCGGAGATTCGAGGCGAAGGTAGGCAGAGGAAGGGGCAGTGTGGATAGATGGACAGAGAGAGATCAAAACTACGCAGCCAGGCGCCGGTCAGTATGCATGGAAAGCGGGACGGGAGGAAGAGGAGAGAAAGCGTGTCCGGCCTACCTCTGTCTCGGATAAGCAGCGGACAATGAAGAGAGGCTTTGAGATGCAGGTCGACTCCGTCGTGAAAGTCATGAGAGAGCGACGATGCTCGCAGCCGATGTTGAGATGGTCGTAAACGTCGTGGGGCCAAGACAGTGGGTGGGATGCGAATGGAGGGAGAGGGACAGGACGAGATGGCGAGAACTCGGTACCCGACACCTTTTAACTGGCCGTTGCCCGGCCATCCCGCCCGCAGCAGGTAAATAGCGAGGCTGGTGCCGACGGGGGAGCCAGGTGGGAGGGAAAAGGGCAAGGCTGGCGAAAGAGAAATCTGAGCAAGTGTGGGGTTTGGCAGGGGTTTGACAACCACGCCTGTTTGGAAAGTGTAGTGTAGGTCGGCAAGGACAGGGGCTGAGAACGAAAAGTACCTAGTAGGTACCTACATAGTGAACCGAAGGCAGGACCGAGATACCTACCTATCCAAAGTACCTCCAGAGTACTTACCTTACACAATATACTAGTAGTACAAACGCCTGAGTCCCCACTGTTGCCAGCCACCAGTCGCGAGCAACGAATTGAGAAACCAGATCGGTGGCTCATTTCGGTGCAAGCCCAATTCAAGTCTAATTCGCAGCACTCTGTGTCTTTCGCGTCATGCATTCTAAACAGCGATTGGACTAAGAAATTGGGAAGCACTTTTGGCCTTGTCGATTGATACGACGAATACATACAGTTACTCGGTCATCGGCAAACCGGAAACCGGCCAAATCATGCAGATGCAGAACATCCCAGCCAGACACCCCCGAGGAAGGGCAAGCATTTGTCATGGTGCACACCAGAATAAAACAAAACTCGGCATCGGGGCCGAGGCACCGTAAAAGACGTCCATTGATTCCTTGGATGCCAGCAAAGCAGATGTCGCGTCCTCCGCGCGCCGTGAGTGACGCGCCGTGCTACAGAGGCCGCGAGAGTCAAAGGTCAACACCAACAACAAACCATGCAATTCCACGCGTCAAAAGCTCCCCTCGCCCATGGGCCTTACGCCATCCCGGATTAGCCCATACACCCAAACAATATTACCCAACGTCGCATGTTTGGTTCTGCAACGTATGCGAGAGAGAGAGAGCCAAATCATTCGTCCTTGGCCGTGTCGCTACCTGTGGAGACGATTTTGACGTGTCGTTCATAGAATTGTAACATCTACAGACACCCAAAGTAGCATCTGATTAGCCATTGGACTAGAGCAGATACGATATACGGGGAACGGGGGTTGGGATTAAGATCGAGATAGGGAATAGAGGCGCTCCGGTCGTCTTGGATGGTCGGCCGTTTACATACCTTCTGAGGGCAACGAGAATAGATAACCTTGGTATCATGCTGCGTCTTTTGACCGGTCTTCCAGGTGAGGTACACGATGAGCTTGCCCGTGTTCTCGTCATGACAGGCATCAATGGACTCCACGGCGTCTTCCCATGACCCTTGTGGCGGCTTCCAAGCACGGATACTAGCTGGCGGGGTGGCCGACGCCGGGTGGCTGTCATTGCGCCGTCGCTTTGTGCCGTTGGCTGGTGTGCCGGTCGAAGGTCGGCCACGCTTCTTGGTCTTCAGTGCCGTCTGCGCCTCCTCTAGTAGCGCGTCGCGACCACCGACGCTCGCTAGATACTCATCGAGGACTCCTGCTGCATTTTCCCTGCGTAGACCCAGTCAGACATTAACATTGTAAACAAACGTGCGTGCTTAAGCTGGTAGAGAACCTAGATTTACACACCTCAGATTATCCTCTTCTTCCCAAGTCTGATCTGATTTCTTCTCATAACCTTCCCACTTAACCTTATATTTCAGAGTGCCCTTCCCGGTTTGTTAGCGCAAACAACCAAGGGTGGGAAGCGCGTCGGGGTGACTTACATCAGGTTCAAGCATATGGGCGAGAATCTTTTCGACGATATACCTGCAACGAAGAATTAGTAGCGGGTCGCGCGGTAGCAAAGGAGACAGAGGCGCGTGGGGGCGAGTAGGGACCGACGCACTCATCCTCCTCTAGATCCTCGTTTTCACCCTCTTCGTCTTGGTCCTCTTTAGCATCATCGTCTCCGACAATATCAAGCATCTCGTTATCATCGTTATCGTCGTCGTCGTCGTCGTCGTCTTCGTCTTTGAGGATCGGAACCGTCGTGGTGTTGTTGGCGGCAGTTGCGGCGCGTTTGGTGGTGATGGGGACATCAAAGTCCGCGACGTCGGATGTCTCGTCGTCGCTTATTGCTAGATGTCGTGAAGTGTCAGTCTGTGCATCAGCCGAAAGTACGACAAGTAGCGTCGACGCGTACCGGGCGGCATTGTGGCAGTTTAGACGTGGGATTGAACAAGGCTACGCTATGGGCGTCGCGTATCCGGGACCGCGCAATCAGTTGGGAGCGCGAGGTTGCTTGGCTAGTGGTCACAAGCAAAGCGCAAGTAATTTTAAGAGATACGTAGGATAAAGAGGCTTGGTTGCGTGCTCTACCCTCTGCCCTCTGCTCTGCTCTGCGATGCGATGCGCTGCGCGACAGCACGAGGTAAGTTGACTTGAGTCTGATACACAGCTGGAGGTAAGAGGCATGTAGGTATCTTCAATTGGCGAGCTGGGGCTTTACCCACCTGGGCAGTTTGCAAACACCCAAACCTGCCAGTTGTCAACAATTACTGGGCGGCCCGAGGTCACGGCTCGCAGTTCTAACACTACCTAGGTAAGTAGATAGTACCTACCTACCTGGTAGTAACCCACCAGTCAGAGGCTTAGCGCACAGTATGGTAGGTACTAATGTATCAGCCGCACAACACACGTTGTTAACACAGTCTAATGCAAAACATACGTGGACCTGCTGTTAAGGTAACCAAGGAGCTGCTACCTACTAGTACCTACTATACTACAGTGCATACCTGTACACTAGACTGCTACTTAGTAGTGTACCTACCCGATCATCTACTGCGTCTAGGTACTGTATCTAAGGTAGGTAATGTGCCTGCGTAGGTCTCTAAGGTAGTGGACATATCCACTCGGGTTTTCAGCCGGCTGCATCCCAACTGAACTTAGCAAGTCAGCAACGTGTACCAGCAACAAATACCTTGGAGATAGGTTTTTCTATCTAGATCCGCAATTAGAGCTTCAACCGAGCAATGCTGCTTTTAGCCCGAGCTTCCCGCCCTGAGACAAACCTACTTTTGCATAAATTTAGGTGTATAAAGCAGTTCAGTTTTAAAATAGTTCCTGGTTAAATTAATGATTACTGTTTTGTTTTGAGTAGTTATCTCTATTAAGTAAACTTGTGTTAGACTATGCAAATTGATTAACTTAGCAAAGTTCTGCTATGCCTATATTAAAGAGTGGTTTTAGTAAGGATGCACAACGGAATATTAATGAATGCCTCGACATAGTGGGAGCACTTTCAAGCATGGTCTTTAAAGTATGTCTAGGTAGCTGTGGAAAGGGAAAGGGGGAGGGGCTAAAACCTTTGAAACCTGTTAAACCATACTATGTTTCTATGTAGATAAGTAGAGACTTTGAAGTGTTATAAACCTGAGTCATTTTGAGCACCAGGGTAGCAAGGGCAAGGGCGCGGGGCCAGGCGGAACACCTTTAATAGTAGTAGTTGAAGCAGGCTACAAGTGTCCTCTCCGTTATATTCATTATTAATTCAAACCAGCACATATTGGAATATCGGGGTGATGGCGCAGTTGGGAGCGCGTTAGACTGAAGTAAACTTTATTCAATTATCTAAAGGTCACCGGTTCAAGCCCGGTTCACCCCAAACCAAATAACCTTTTATTTTTATTTTTATTTTATTTACCTACCCGTAGTGACTAAAAACCTTGAAACCATCTCAGGCAAAAAATACTTCTGTTAAGTGAAATGCATGGCAACTAAACTACCTTGTGCTAATTACGAAATCTTACTAACGATCTTCGACAAACATGGATCAGGTCTTGTGTGGTCTTACCTTCAAGGAGATCCACAAATGTGTTGGCCCGATAAACATGTCATTCCCGTTTCCCCCCCCTAGACTTTGTCCTGTAGCCCATTTCCATTCCGATGAGGGACCTTTACCATCTTGGTTGTTGATAAGCCGATATTAAATGGCCAGTCGACCACCCGGGTCACTTGGAATGTAGCCTGGAAAGCCTTGCAGGCCTCTGAAAAAGCTGTGTGGGTGTATTTGTCCCGGCTCCGACAAAAATGCCCGAATGGAAAATAGAGTCCTACTGCTAAACGTGAAACCGCGTTCTGGTTGTATCCGGGGTGAAAAGGTTCCGACAGACTCTCAAAGCCCAGTACTCGCCATAGGTTTTCGTATCTTTATCAATCTTTCGCTCAAGTCCTGCCTCTGTAAGCATATCTCGCAGCTTTGCCCGGAATACTGGGCTTTCTTTTAGTATATGTTGATGCGGTGTCCATCGTTGCGAGGCATACAGCCTAAGCTCAGCGTATCCCTTATCCTCCCGCTCCGGAGCATATACTGCGCTCTCAGTGATCATACCATTCATGAAATCCATGGTTGAGCTATCCGGGAAAATATCTCCTGCGTTGCTTTGACCTTCTATGCTTGATTTCATTTCTTCATGCATCTCTGGATTCGAGATAATTCCGGATACACGGTAAAAAATTTGCTTGACGTTTTCGAAAGCTAACCCATCATGCTTCCCTTGGTATCCTCGGTAGACTGGACCCTCTCTCCCAACTTTGTCCCTTGTCCTGTTAGCTAGAATCGTGGAGATCTGCAGAAGCCCGAGAGTCAGTCCTCCAACGGTTTGCTCAAGGTTCTTGATATCGCAGTCGGTAAAATGCTTATAGGACAGCCAATCGCGGAAGACTGGAGCCAAATCAGTTGATGATAGTGGGTTTACTAAACCCTCCTTTTCGAGCCGGGCTTGGGAGAGCAATGATGCGTAGAAGCAAGTGCTTTCCCAGTAAGTGCACCTGATTTTCTCATCGCTGATAGCGGCAGCCAGACCAAACGTATCCCGTATGCCCCTCAGTTTGTCAGTGTCGAACTTCTTCCCGCTTTGTACGGTCAGTGGCTCTGGACCAGGAGAATGTCGGAGATACTCGGCTAACTCTGCTCGTACTGGTACCGAGACTCGTTCCCCCTGAAATAGTGGTGGCAAATTGTTCAGGCCGGCATTCGAATAATCGCCGGGGCCACAAAATTCGGTTACGACGTTGACGAGCAGAGATTCAAATGCGCGGCAAAAAGTTATTTCGAGAAGATTCTGAACAAGTACATTGCTGCCTTTGGAAGCGGATGGAATAGATGATAACCGCAAGAAGAATGCATGTCGGTGACCGCGGCTGCGGGCGAGAACGAAGTAGTGAAGCATGTTAACATACAGCTGAGGCGTCAACGTTTTACCTTGGAAACTAAGGACTTCGGGTTCGACTCATGATATCGACTTGTCCACGATATGCGGGATTGCAGAGTTCATATTTCTCAACAATCCGAGATAGTCCATGAACTCGAGGTCGTCAACCTCGTCAAGTGAGAGCTTTTGGGCGAGGCGTGTTATCGAGTCCTTCAAACCAGGAAATCGAAGGTCCGGTGTCGGATAGACAAGCCCCTTGTGATAAATATTAGGATCGAAGTTTTTAAGTCTATTGGAAAGTATTTTACATGGCAGGTTTGGGCAGTTGTGTCTTCTGTGCGAACCGTGGTTACCTGCTTTGCACTGAGCAGAAATCATCTCAGCCCGCTCAACCGCCTTCAAAAGCTTGTCTTGGGCAGTTTTTCGGGTTGAATCGCATTGTAGAAGGCGCAAGGGAAGGCTGAGATTGGCCGGGTGCAGAGCGAAAGTGTTGTCGGTGTAAACGCAAGTACCTACTAGTGGGCGCATTAACAACAGTAAAATGCAGAACCGTGCAAACTGAACTGGGGCGACTTCCTAGGGACCGTTTCGCTCTGCATAAATTAAGTATACATACATTAAGTAGTCACTGCCCTGACTGACAATCAGGTGAGCCGAGCCTGAGCAAAAGCGGCGAGGGCGCTAAGCCCGATTTGTCGTGCGGTACAAAATTGGTAAAGGCTAGAGCCCACTAAGTAGGTACGCACAGGGAGGGAAGGTAGGGGCTGTATGTACAAGGCCAGTCGTTTGTTGGCGCGATGTACGACTGGTGTAGTGTGCCTATCTTCAGTGACACCCCTGACGGCTCGGATTTTTGAAGAAAAAGCGAGTGCGGAGAGGGAAGAGGAAGGGAGGAGCAAGAGAAGAAAAGGAAGCAGAGAAAACAGGGCCGAAAAAGAGAGGAAAAGGGGGAGAACAGTCCAGGCGTGGGAAGAATTCGTTTCGAACTGATGGAAGAAAGTCAAAAAACAAGTCGTCAATATCATGCGAAGCTTTGCCCCGGGCAAGAAACAACTGCAACAAGTTGCTGCTGCTTGTGCTTGTGCTTCTTCTTCTCTGTCCCCTGCTGCTTCTCGTTCTTCCTCCTCTTTTTCCTCCTCTCTTTCTTCTTCTTCTTCCGCTTCTTCTTCTTCTTTGACTACTAGGTGCTGAAGAAGAAGAACAAGAAGAAAAGGAAGAAGACGAAGACGGAGACGAAGCCGAAGAAGAAGCGTTGCTACCTGCCATCCACCTCGTCCAACCTCGTCCGATATACGACCGACAGCCCGTCTCGACGTGCATTTTGGATGCGTCTCGAGCAGGGTGAGCTCCTTCGGGGCGCGCTGCCGACACTGCCAGCACCCCATCCATTCACGTCATCGCCGACCTCGACCTCGACCTGATCCTCATCCTCGCCCCCGTCCCCCGTCCCCCGTCCCCGTCCCGGTTCTCTTTCCCTTTCCCCTTCTCGCCCTCTTTTTTTGGTTTGTTTCTGTTTTTGTGTTTGTTTTCTTGCTTCCCTCCGCCCACTCTTCTCTTGACCTTCCTCGTCCGCCCGGATCGCCGCCTTGTCACTCCCTAGCTGGCCACCGCACCTCTTCTGCCACGACCATCGCGCCGCTCGCCCTTCCGTCCCCGGCCCACAATCGCCACGCAGACGACGCCGGTGTTCTGCCAGCCCGCCTCCACCATGTCCGAATCTGCCAACTCCACCACCACGCCTGCTGGCCCTGGTGCCGCCCCGACTCCAACAGCTGCTTCCGCCACCGCCGCCGAGTCTCCAGCCACCCAGAAGACAAGCGCCGTCAAGGACAAGAGCTGCCCCTACTGTGGCCAGGCCTTCACCTCCTCGTCCCTCGGCAGACATCTTGACCTTTACATAAAAGAGAAGAACCCAAAGCCACCCGATGGCATCCACGATGTGGACGCCATCCGTAAGTTGCGGGAATCCATCACCCGACGCCAGCCAAGGGGTTCCCACGCCCGTCGTGACCGCGACACCTCGAATCCAGGCACCCCGGCTTCTTCCTCCAGAAAGAGCCCTGCCCCGGCCTTATCCTCGGCCGCCGACCCCGTTACAAGACCGCCCGCCATTCCCAAGGAAGGACAGTTTGTCGTCGACACCCAGAGTCATCGCTTCCCATTCCAGGCCACGTGGGAGGCAACCGGTGTGATGAACGACATACCCCCGACAACTGGCAATCATGCAAGCGGGATTGGCAGCGCCTGGGACTCCTCCCGAGCCAGGGCAAGTCCGAGCAGGGAAACATCAGCACGCCCCCAGAATCCACAGCGGGCGCCGAGTCGTGCGGCGCAAAGGATGCAACTCGACACCAAACAGCGCTTAGCCGACGCCGTCGACACCGCCCGAGCTGCCGAGCTCGCATTACGGGAATTGCTTAGTTCTATGAGAGCTGCCAAGTATGCCCATCCATCTTCACTGCCACCCGCCGCCTGATAGACTCTGCTACTAACCGCCAATATCCTGGTAGACAACACGTCGACATGAACTCGCTACCCTTCGACTTCGAACCTCTGGCCCTCGACTTCCCAGCACTGACCCTACAGTGTCTTCAGGCACCGCCCACCCTGTTCTCCTCCACACCTCACCCGACCTCGACCTCGTGGTCCATCCAGCCACCCGGTCAGAAACAGTACGAAGCGCTGCAGATGTATTTTCATGACGAGTTTCAAAAATGGCGTGTTTCCTGCGCTACGGCTACGACCATTACAACCGAAGATCTGACCTACCCGCCCTCCGAAACCAGATTCCCTCAAGACATGCGTGAAAGCGTCAAGAAAGCGGAGAAGGCTGCTGCGCTGCTGGAGAAACAGGTCCACGAACACCTACAGTCGACATATCATGTATGGGAACAGCTGTCACCGCAACGTCGGAGCGAGCTTTGGGGCTTGGAGCTAGCCAGGAGTGTTGGCAGAAGGCAGAAAGAGCTCGAGAAGCTGAAGGAAGCGCAGTACGCCACCAAGCAGGAAAATGCAAATCTCAAGCTGCAGATCGAACACTTGAACCGCCTGCAGCAGCCGAGGGAGTTCAGGATTGTACCACCCGCAACGATCCCCATAGAGGAGACCTATATGAACTATCTGCTCGGTTTGGGCGCCAGCGGGGTGCACGGCACGGGCCTCACCTTGGAGGAGCGGCACGTGGACCTGAATACAATGGTCTCCCGTGCCATCGACCGTTGGAAGTCCGTCATCGTATCTACCAGGGGCGCCGGGCTGGGCGGTCAGAAGTCACTTGATCAGGTCACGCCAAGCACAACGCCCACAAATGCTACACCCGCCACGTTGCCTCCGCCTCATCAGCGGGGATCAGGGATGCACTCACATGCTCCGCAGCGGTCTCTTGCCCTGCCCCCGGCTCTGTCCACCGGGTCTTCGACGACAACCGCCGCTCCATCGGCCGTGGATGAAG